ATATGGTAATTTTGCCGGTTTCCCATATAATGAAAATGGTCCATTTCCGCGTCCCAAGAGTTAACCCCCCACCAAAAAAAACAAGATGGCCACCGACTGTCTGCGAATTCTCTCGATCCTTGGTTGTCACTTTTTAATATCTACTCTGCATATTTATCTGTGGTCATCCGACCAAAATCCGGTTGATAGGCTAGGTTGAGAACCCATGCAGACATACAACCGCACAACAAATATCATTCGTAGTCTACGAGAAAGCCTACAATTCTAAAAGAAAAATACATTAAACATTTTTTTTAACATGAACCCTTCCTACTGCGACACACACTGTCGATCTATCAATTTCATCAGTTATACAGACTCTCTCTCCTTCTTCGAGAAGGTATCTCTTCGACCATCAATTACATTTCTTACGAGATTATACCCTGATTATATCTTTGGATACTTAAACCGGACACCGGATACCGGATTCGAATGACCACAGATAAATCGACCGTGTCGATGGTCAAATGTCACAACCGGATCTGCTCGTGCGACTCAGAGCGTGGTGACGTATCGATGACGTATCATTACCTGGGGCAATCCCGCTATTAATTAAACCACAGGTACAAAAAGGAAAGAAGAAAAAAAGGAAAACAGGTGTATTTTTCGGTGTCTTGTCGCTTGTTCTTTGCACTTATAATAACCACATTACACAGCGCTTCTGATGTTTGATGTACTTTAACTTGACGTAATCTATGTGTGCGCTGCTTTGTTGTTTATTGTACCGAATTGTTAATGAAAAGGCTAGAGTTCTTTTTTTAAACGGGAGATTGGACCATTTTTATTACCTGGGAATCGGCAAAACGTATCAAATAACATTTTTCACAATTCGGGAATGGAGAAGTCAACCAGGCCGAAATTGACTAGAATTGAAATTGACTAGAATTGACTAGAATTTTGATCGAAATTGACTAGAATTAAACCAGATAACAGGGAAAAACGGCGCAATTTCTTACCTGGAAGACTATAGGAATGGGCACCGCCCACTGATCTCTATTATACTAACTATAGATACTATACTATATCTATATTAGTATAATAGAGATCAGTGGCACCGCCTCCCTCCCCTATAAAACAATTGATGAAAACAACGCAATTTCCGGTATTTATTAGCGATTCCAAGTTTTTAGCTCACCTTGACATCGTCAAGATGAGCTATTATCATGGGGCGTCATCCGTCGTACGTCCGTCCGTCCGTCAACATTTGGCTACGGTCAACGATGACTTGAGAACCGTTTGACCCACATGTTTCAAATTGCATGCAGTTGTTACTGAGAGATGTGAACGTCCCATTTTTGGGCACGCCAGTTGACCTACTTTCGAGCCACGCCCACTTTTTTGCAAAAATGGAAATGGCCATAAGTCAGTTTAGGTTCAACGGATTTTGCTCATTTTTGGCATGGGAGTGAATAAGGACTGGCCCCAAAACATATCACAGGGGTTTTGATATTTTTTAAATTATGCAAATTAGGTAGATTTTGGCAATTTCACTATTTATTTCAGTGTATGGCTACGGTCAACGACAAACTCAAGAACCGTTTGACCCACATGTTTCAAATTGCATACAGTTGTTACTCCTATGGGAGAGATTTGAACGTCCTATTTTAGAGCGCGCCAGTCGATCTACTTTCGTGCCACGCTCACTTTTTGGCAAAAATGGAAATGGCTATCTAGATTCATTCGATTTTGTTAAATTTTGGTATGTGAATGTGTAAGGCTAGCTCCAAAGCAGTTGTTAATCATATGGGGGAGATGACAACGTCCTATTACGTTTATTTTGTCTAACTGGTTAACAACTCTACAATCATACCTACATGTAATATTGTGTTTTGGATTCTTCGTTACAGTAATTTGACTGGAATATTTTATTGTTTTTATTTGCACGATATTCAAAAACCAAAATGGCGATCATTTAAGCGTAGCACCGTCTCTTGCCCAGATTTCAGACTTTCAGATCTGAAACATTTATGTTCGCATCAAAAATTACGCATATATTATTATCAAGAGTATATAATGGGAGACATGCTATATAATAGGAGTTCTCCTATATATATACCTACTCTTGCTCTTGCTCTTGCTCTTGCTCTTGCTTTATATATCCCTCTCCCTCTTCTATCACACCCAAGGTGAGCTACAGTGTCAGTGACACTTTCATGTTAAATTTACCTACCTACCTACCTACCTACCTAATCATACCTACGGGGTGGTATATGTGAATGAATATAAGGACTGGCCCCAAAACATATCCCCAAAACAATTTTAAATATCATCTCCTTCTTCTATCACACCCAATGTGCACTATAGTGTCATTGACACTTTTATTGTAAGTAAAATTTATATGGTAATTTTGCCGGTTCCCATATAATGAAAATGTTCCATTTCCGCGTAACGTTTCTTTTTGTTATTTACAAATTGGTTTTTTTAAATAATTTAATTAATTAATTATTTATTAATTTTACAAAGTTGTTGTTTATCTGTTATTGTCGTCAGTGATCTTCGATCCATCGAGTTTCTACGGCCACGCTGAGTACGACCATGGCATCGCGACGATGTTTGGAGGATTTTCGCACTCGTTCTTCAAAAGCTACCATGAGCTAATACCGAAGTGCGAGGGATACGCGACACGACAGAAGATCTACCAGCTCTTCAACTACTTAAACCACTGGTGAGGCATGCTCACGTGCAAGTGAACGTTGAAATGTTATGAACGACATTTTTTTTCAATTTGTCAATTTAAATCTTTTGAAAAATTAAGTAATTTAAGCGGTAAGTAATTTAAAGTAATTTGTTCACAAAATTTATTTAAAAATTTATAATGAATGACGGTCGTTTTTTAGCTCGCCTTGACATCGTCAAGATGAGCTAATGCCATGGGGTGTCGTACGTTCGTCCGTCCGTTAACATTTGGCTACAGTCAACGATAACTTGAGAACCGTTTGACCCACGTGTTTCAAATTGCATACTCGTCTTTAGGAATCATTTCGGCGGCGGATATCGTGGATCGTCCGTGTCCATCATGCGAGAGCTGGTCGCCTCGTGAGTCCAGCCTGCGAGTACGCGGACAGAGGGCGCCACGCGCCACTCCGACGAGGGTTGACGATATATCCACGATTGTGCATATAGATGGCGCTGCAAGTCGCTCCGATATGCCTTGGCGATATGTCAGCGAGTGTTCATACAGATGGCACCAAAAATTTCTCTGATTCAATTCATTGGTATCTCTGCAAGTGTGCATGCAGAGGGCGCTACAAGTCGCTCCGATATGGCTTGACGATATATCCGCGAGTGTGCATACAGCTGGACCCACGCGTCACTTGAATTCAGCTCATCGATATAATATATCTGCTAATGTATTATTACGTGGTTGTAGATACGTTGGGTGGTAGATGCATGTAGATTTATACTGCTGCTTGCGGCACATTAGGTGCCTATAAGGCATAAGGCCTACAAACACCATGTACACAACACTCGATTTGTAAATTGTTATTCGACAATCGTGCTTTTCGCTAGTCGGTTTTTGTAATTTAGGTGAAATGTCGGTGGTATCAGGGTTCTCCAAGAGCACTTATAGCCTGG